CCATGTTTATAAACACTGTAACAGCGCCCCATGTTTATAAACACTGTAACAGCACCCCATGTCTATAAACAATGTAACAGCGCCCCATGTTTATAAACAATGTAACAACACCCCATGTTTATAAACAATGTAACAGCACCCCATGTTTATAAACACTGTAACAGCACCCCATGTCTATAAACAATGTAACAGCACCCCATGTTTATAAACACTGTAACAGCACCCCATGTCTATAAACAATGTAACAGCACCCCATGTTTATAAACAATGTAACAGCACCCCATGTTTATAAACACTGTAACAGCACCCCATGTCTATAAACAATGTAACAGCACCCCATGTTTATAAACAATGTAACAGCACCCCATGTTTATAAACAATGTAACAGCACCCCATGTTTATAAACACTGTAACAGCACCCCATGTTTATAAACACTGTAACAACACCCCATGTTTATAAACACTGTAACAACACCCCATGTTTATAAACAATGTAACAGCACCCCATGTTTATAAACACTGTAACAGCACCCCAAACACTGTAACAACACCCCATGTTTATAAACAATGTAACAGCACCCCATGTTTATAAACACTGTAACAGCACCCCATGTTTATAAACACTGTAACAGCACCCCATGTTTATAAACACTGTAACAACACCCCATGTTTATAAACACTGTAACAGCGCCCCATGTTTATAAACAATGTAACAGCACCCCATGTTTATAAACACTGTAACAGCACCCCATGTCTATAAACAATGTAACAGCACCCCATGTTTATAAACAATGTAACAGCACCCCATGTTTATAAACACTGTAACAGCACCCCATGTCTATAAACAATGTAACAGCACCCCATGTTTATAAACACTGTAACAGCACCCCATGTCTATAAACAATGTAACAGCACCCCATGTTTATAAACAATGTAACAGCACCCCATGTTTATAAACACTGTAACAGCACCCCATGTCTATAAACAATGTAACAGCACCCCATGTTTATAAACACTGTAACAGCACCCCATGTCTATAAACAATGTAACAGCACCCCATGTTTATAAACACTGTAACAGCACCCCATGTCTATAAACAATGTAACAGCACCCCATGTTTATAAACAATGTAACAGCACCCCATGTTTATAAACAATGTAACAGCACCCCATGTTTATAAACACTGTAACAGCACCCCATGTTTATAAACACTGTAACAACACCCCATGTTTATAAACACTGTAACAGCGCCCCATGTTTATAAACAATGTAACAGCACCCCATGTTTATAAACACTGTAACAGCACCCCATGTCTATAAACAATGTAACAGCACCCCATGTTTATAAACACTGTAACAGCACCCCATGTCTATAAACAATGTAACAGGCACCCCCATGTTTATAAACACTGTAACAGCACCCCAGCTGTCTATAAATTGGCCTTGGCTTGTTACCATGCTTTTTATAAAAACAATGTAACAACACCCCATGCTATGTAAAACAATGTAATATAGCACCCCTACAAGTTATAAACACTGTAACAGCACCCCATGCCTTATAAACAATGTGGGTCAGCACCCCATGTTTATAAACACTGCAACAGCACCCCATGTCTATAAACAATGTAACAGCACCCCATGTTTATAAACAATGTAACAGCACCCCATGTTTATAAACACTGTAACAGCACCCCATGTCTATAAACAATGTAACAGCACCCCATGTTTATAAACAATGTAACAGCACCCCATGTTTATAAACAATGTAACAGCACCCCATGTTTATAAACACTGTAACAGCACCCCATGTTTATAAACACTGTAACAACACCCCATGTTTATAAACACTGTAACAACACCCCATGTTTATAAACAATGTAACAGCACCCCATGTTTATAAACACTGTAACAGCACCCCAAACACTGTAACAACACCCCATGTTTATAAACAATGTAACAGCACCCCATGTTTATAAACACTGTAACAGCACCCCATGTTTATAAACACTGTAACAGCACCCCATGTTTATAAACACTGTAACAACACCCCATGTTTATAAACACTGTAACAGCGCCCCATGTTTATAAACAATGTAACAGCACCCCATGTTTATAAACACTGTAACAGCACCCCATGTCTATAAACAATGTAACAGCACCCCATGTTTATAAACAATGTAACAGCACCCCATGTTTATAAACACTGTAACAGCACCCCATGTCTATAAACAATGTAACAGCACCCCATGTTTATAAACACTGTAACAGCACCCCATGTCTATAAACAATGTAACAGCACCCCATGTTTATAAACAATGTAACAGCACCCCATGTTTATAAAACACTGTAATGAAGAATTTCCATGTCTATAAACAATGCAAATAGCCCCATGTTTATGCCTGTAAATGCAACAACACCCCATGTTTATAAAACAATGTAACAGCACCCCCATGTTTATAAACACTGTAATAGCACCCCCATGTCTATAAACAATGTAAATGTAACACCCCATAAAAGTTTATAAACAATGTAATAAGACCCCCCAGCGTTTATAAACAATGTAACAGCACCCCATGTCTATAAACAATGTAACAGCACCCCATGTTTATAAACAATGTAACAGCACCCCATGTTTATAAACACTGTAACAGCACCCCATGTCTATAAACAATGTAACAGCACCCCATGTTTATAAACAATGTAACAGCACCCCATGTTTATAAACAATGTAACAGCACCCCATGTTTATAAACAATGTAACAGCACCCCATGTTTATAAACACTGTAACAGCACCCCATGTTTATAAACACTGTAACAACACCCCATGTTTATAAACACTGTAACAACACCCCATGTTTATAAACAATGTAACAGCACCCCATGTTTATAAACACTGTAACAGCACCCCATGTTTATAAACACTGTAACAGCACCCCATGTTTATAAACACTGTAACAACACCCCATGTTTATAAACACTGTAACAGCGCCCCATGTTTATAAACAATGTAACAGCGCCCCATGTTTATAAACAATGTAACAGCGCCCCATGTTTATAAACAATGTAACAGCGCCCCATGTTTATAAACAATGTAACAGCGCCCCATGTTTATAAACAATGTAACAGCACCCCATGTTTATAAACACTGTAACAGCATCCCATGTTTATAAACACTGTAACAGCACCCCATGTTTTTATAAAAAGTATAAAATATCAATCCCCCCCCAGTGTTTACAAAGAAAGTAATAACACCCCAAAGTTTATAAACAATGTATGAATCCCCCAGTGTTTATGAGCAATGTAACACCCAGTTTTATTTTGTATTTAATTAAGAACAATGCATTAAACCTGCTTGTGTTTATAAACAATGTACAATCCTCCCAATGCTTTAATTAGCAATGTATCTGTAAATGCCCTAATATGATATGATAATAAATACACAGCTCAGATGTTTATAAATCCATAACCATATATCGGATCTGTGTGTACTGCTGTTATGTCTTCCCTGTTCAGAGTTCTGGGCATAATATATTGTTAAATAAACAGTACCTTATACAACCATGCAAAGTGCAATATGGCAGCTTTAAACATTCACAGCCTCAGTCTGGCACTGACATTTCATTATTCCAGCTGTGAAGATTATATTTCTCAGGATTTGTCAGACATTCAAAGTCATTTTCCGATTCTAGATCATAATATCTGAATTAAAAGATTCTCTCAAACCAGCTATATTTTCATTTGAGCTATTTTAACATAAAATAGAGAATCCCTGCCAGTTCATGGTTTAGTGGATAACATTTCTGTAAATCTGCAGGCTGTGCTTAGAGAGTAAGCTCTTTGGCTCAGTCTGTGTATCTCTATTGGAAGGCATCCTATTTGTCATTGATTTCCCCAGGTTACAGCGCTGTCACCATGTATTCTACTAAATCACATGTTACAGAGCTCACGTGTTGAAGGTTTATCCACTAAACTGTTTAATTCCGTGAACTGAATTGTAAAATGATCGTTATAAATAGTAGTGACTACAGTGGGAGACGCTCCCAATCCATTATTTGTTCAAAGTTTCTAGTTTGGTTTAAATGTCTTGGCTGTGTTGAACTGATTCAGGAATTGTGAAGTTTAGGCCCAGACAGACAAGTAAGAGTCTCTGATTCAGCCTTTCCCCCCCAGTTTGTCTATTTCATTTATCCTCGAATTGTGCAGTTCTTTAAACAGATTTCCACATTTTCTGATTCAGTGAGTATATTCGCATGGAGTCTGGTGAAAAGATAAGCGAAATGCAGATTGCAGTTTATGGAAATTTAAGAGTATTTTACCCTCTTCGTTTTATTCACTGCAACGATTTAATGTATAAACCCCACATGTCACTCTCCCTCCTCCTAAGATTGGGAAGTTGTTGGAGCTGGGATTTTTGTTGCCCGAGTACGCCCATTGTGTGATAAGGCAGTGTGACCTTACACAGTTTGCATTCACACCCATGGAACGTGGGTCTGCATGTCAGGAACATGCATGACTTTATACGTGGATGGGGGGAGGAAGTGGGAACCCCCAGTGAGGCCCAAGGGTTATTGAATCACACTTTACTTGAGTAGGCAGTCTTAGACTCTGTACTCAGATAAGAACCTGTGGAGGTTTGCGTAAATTGTGAAGGTTGGAGTTTATTAGAGATTTCATTTTCTTTAAACCCTACATGTGGTAACTCTGTGGTTTGGGAGATTTTAGAACGATGGAATTACTGACTGTCTGCAACAGAGTGAGCTCACCGCAGCTGTGCAACCGATCCACTAAACCGGGACTGGAGGAGATGTGACAAATTGCACATTTAGATCGGGGTAACCGAGCTTTTCCTTTTATAAGCTGTAGGGTTCATTCTGTCCTCCAGTTAACACAATATCCGGTGGAATGACGCCGTGCGCCATGCTCGATCCTAATTACGTAGAACGTTACGGGGGACGTGAGTGGGAAGGTCCGTATAAACTATGGATGTGAAACGACTTTCACTGTCTGCAGCCTTCCAGTAACAAATTCATTCATCTGTGCGGTAAGATAACATGTATACAGGATTGTACAAAGCGAACTTCACATTTCTAGTCAAACAAAAACATTGCTGACTTTCGTCATTTTTCAAATTTTGGAAAACAAATGACGATTTACAATAAATTGCTGATAATTCAAACTTTACGATCAGTTACACCCCCTCTGATGGGATAAGAGAGCGTCCCACACACAGGGATTCCTATAAGTTATAGGGTCAGTGACGCCCCCTCTGATGGGATAAGAGCGTCTCACACAGGGATTCCTATAAGTTATAGGGTCAGTGACTCCCCCTCTGATGGGATAAGAGAGCGTCTCACACACAGGGATTCCTATAAGTTATAGGGTCAGTGACGCCCCTCTGATGGGATAAGAGAGCGTCTCACACACAGGGATTCCTGTAATTTATAGGGTCAGTGACGTCCCCTCTGATGGGATAAGAGAGCGTCTCACACACAGGGATTCCTATAAGTTATAAAGTCAGTGACGCCCCTCTGATGGGATAAGAGAGATCTCACACAGGGATTCCTATAAGTTATAGGGTCAGTGACGTCCCCTCTGATGGGATAAGAGAGCGTCTCACACACAGGGATTCCTATAAGTTATAGGGTCAGTGATGTCCCATCTGATGGGATAAGAGAGAGTCTCACACACAGGGATTCCTATAAGTTATAGGGTCAGTGACGCCCCCTCTGATGGGATAAGAGAGCGTCTCACACACAGGGATTCCTATAAGTTATAGGGTCAGTGACGCCCCCTCTGATGGGATAAGAGAGCGTCTCACACACAGGGATTCCTATAAGTTATAGGGTCAGTGTCGCCCCCTCTGATGGGATAAGAGAGCGTCTCACACACAGGGATTCCTATAAGTTATAGGGTCAGTGACGCTCCCTCTGATGGGATAAGAGAGCGTCTCACACACAGGGATTCCTATAAGTTATAGGGTCAGTGACTCCCCCTCTGATGGGATAAGAGAGCGTCTCACACACAGGGATTCCTATAAGTTATGGGGTCAGTGACGCTCCCTCTGATGGGATAAGAGAGAGTCTCACACAGGGATTCCTATAAGTTATGGGGTCAGTGACGCCCCCTCTGATGGGATAAGATAGCATCTCACACACAGGGATTCCTATAAGTTATAGGGTCAGTGTCTCCCCCTCTGATGGGATAAGAGAGCGTCTCACACACAGGGATTCCTATAAGTTATAGGGTCAGTGACGTCCCCTCTGATGGGATAAGAGAGCGTCCCACACACAGGGATTCCTATAAGTTATAGGGTCAGTGACGTCCCCTCTGATGGGATAAGACAGCGTCTCACACACAGGGATTCGTATAAGTTATAGGGTCAGTGACGTCCCCTCTGATGGGATAAGAGAGCGTCTCACACACAGGGATTCCTATAAGTTATAGGGTCAGTGTCTCCCCCTCTGATGGGATAAGAGAGCGTCTCACGCAATTTTTATATTTGAGATTTCTAAATATTATGTAATTCATTCTCCTCTCTCCTTAGTACATGGATCGCAATAGTTCCCTTCCACAGATTTTTGATGATCTCCCTGCGATGTTTGGATTTTCTTTGCCCTTAGATGGGCTGAGGGTGAGTAATGAGTCTAGTGACACTGGTGATGTTTTTAACACGGGATCTCTGGGAACTGAGGGAGTTGCAAGTTTTAATTCTAAATCATTGTGATGGCATAGTTAGCCATATTCCCACTTTGGTTGTTTTCATTTGAAATTCCTTAGTTGATTTTCCATAATTCTCAGTTTAGTCTATAATTCCAGTGTGTATGTTACTAAAACTGAGTGTGATTTCTCCGTGGTAGGGGTATCTCGTCGGAGCTGAGCCCGCCAATGCCTGCACCCCTATCCAGCCCCCACCAGTGATGGACAATAAAACCATATTCTTTGCTTTGATCCAGAGGTTCGACTGCAATTTTGATATTAAGGTAAGGAAGCTCCACGGGTCCCTTAGGGAAGGGCAGATCGAACATACTAGATGGCCCATGCTCTAGGGAACTACCTCCCCCATCCTAAACCCCCTGTTTATTTCTTCCAGATCAATTCATTTTAGGCCAGAAACATCTAATCACAGCTTCACAACGAATCCCTTTGCTGCTAATTATTTCTGCAGTTCATCATTAAAACAGTGATGAATATAACAATGCAGTGTTATGCCATTTTTTATAGTAACACTGTGCTGCAGGTTGATGGTTTGTGTAGAGTGACACTGCTGCAGGTTGGTTGGTTGTGTAGAGTGACACTGTGCTGCAGGTTGGTTGGTTGTGTAGAGTGACACTGTGCTGCAGGTTGGTTGCGTAGAGTGGCACTGTGCGGCAGGTTGGTTGCGTAGAGTGGCACTGTGCGGCAGGTTGGTTGTGTAGAGTGGCACTGTGCGGCAGGTTGGTTGGGTAGAGTGGCGCTGTGCGGCAGGTTGGTTGCGTAGAGTGGCGCTGTGCGGCAGGTTGGTTGTGTAGAGTGGCGCTGTGCGGCAGGTTGGTTGTGTAGAGTGGCGCTGTGTGGCAGGTTGGTTGTGTAGAGTGGCACTGTGCTGCGCGTTGATTGATTGTGTAGAGTGGCTCTGTGCGGCAGGTTGGTTGCGTAGAGTGGCGCTGTGCGGCAGGTTGGTTGCGTAGAGTGGCGCTGTGCTGCAGGTTGATGGCGTTTTCTACAGTGACACAGTTTTTAGCAGTGATACCATTTTGTAATGCTGTTTTGCACAGTTTGGAGGTAACGTGTCGCCTTGCTCCCATATATTGTAGTTTGTATAGTTTATAGTACTGTAGGTGTCTGTAATACTTACCTTTTCTCCTGTTACAGGTACTGCACGCACAGCAGGCCGGTTTTCAAGCTGCCATTGTGCACAATGTGAACTCAGAGAAGCTGCTAAATATGATGTGGAATGATGGTGAGTGAGTCTCTGGTTTGCACACACCCCCGTGTCTATATTCATACCCCCTCGTCATGTTCTCAAGACAGGTCAATAAGGGGGTAAGATTTGGACAACACTCCTCGCTGATCTGAAACAAATTGGTTTGACCCAATTTTCCTCATCTTTCTCTCCCCTGAACATGTGTGAAAACATGTCTCTCTCCACCACCCTTCACTTTCAGTCTCTCTCTCCCCACCCCCTTACTTTCAGTTTCTCTCCTCACCCCCCTTACTTCCAATATCTGCATCCCCACCCTCTTACTTTCTCCCCCCACTCCATTTCTTTCAGGGGGTGCCCTTACTTTTATTCTTTTTTTTTTTTGAAAATCTTTATTAAAGGTTTTTCGGTATGAGAGAGAACCAAAGCTCATCAACATGTAGACATCATACATTTTGGCGTTAGATATTCGCCTATATCTTCATGAAGAATTACATGTAAAGCATTTCACATATTTATCCATAGACAATTAAGTTACCACCTGTCACCATACAACATAATTGCATTTTAAGGTGTTAGCATTTCTTCCTAGGTGGTGGATGTCGTAGGTTTAAAGGTGGAGAGGGATCCAGAGAGAAAGAGGAATGAGGTGAGGGGGAGTGGGTGGGTTGGGTTACCTAGATTAGGGTGAGAGACGATCACATAGAGTGAACAAAGATAGCCTAAAATGGAGTGGAGTGTGGTGTTCCCCTGAGGTCATCAGAAGCCCTCTTGACGTACAATGAGCCCATTATCATTTTGTTATGTATGCTATGTAATGTAAAGTAAACGGCCCCTGGGGTTGCTTGGGTGCATATGTATAAGGTTCCCGGATTTTGTCTAGCCACCTGGCAGTACCTGTTTATGGGTGTGGATAGGAGTGTAGAAGAAGAATGGGGGGGTAACAGGCTTGCACCCATCATGTAGAGGGCGTGGTCGGGATATCATGGTAGTATGTGGAAGCGTACATTGGCCATGCCCCGGAGAGCCCGGCGCCCCCTGGTGTGTCGCCGGTCTCAGCGTCTCTATCCCCGTGTATTTTGTGATGTGAAGACAAACCATGGCTGCCATCGCTCTGCATGTTTACCCCCTCTGTCTTGCAGTGTTGCCTGCAATGCTTCGGCCCCTTGAATATCCTCCACTCTGCGAATCCACTCCTCTTCGCGGGGTATTTCCGTCTTTTTCTAATATAGCGGAATAAGTGACTTGGCTGCGTTCAAGAGGTGTCAAAGGATGGATCTTTTGTAGGAGGATACTGACATCTGCGATATGTGTAAGAGGGCCAGTGCAGCTGACCAGTCCGTCACGTCGCCCAGTATTTCTATTATCCTCTGTTTGATCAGGTTCCAGTACGATGTGATCTCGCTACACTCCCACCAAATATGCATCATCGTCCCCCTTTCCTTCAGGCATCTCCAGCACGTTGGTGTAATGGTTGGGAATATCCTATGTAGAAGGACAGGAGTCCTGTACCAGGAGGCTATCAATTTGTAATTTGTTTCTTGAAATTGGGAGCTGACCGAGCTCTTGTGTTGCCAAATAAGCGCCTTGTCCCATTGTTGGGGCGTGAAAGTCGTGTCCAATCGTTCCTCCCATTGCCTGCGGAACGTTGTGTTTGTCGTTAGATGTCCGGTCAGAAGGTGTTGGTACAGTGTAGAAATAGCATTCCCCAGTACAAGCCTCTTCTCACAGCATTCCTCCAGCCAAGTGCGTTCCCTGTGGAGTTGTTCCTTATTCCGTATACTATCGTAATAATGTTTCACTTGTAAGTAACGAAAAACTGCCAGGGGTGTCCGGGGCTTTCCCTCTAGCAATGTGTCTAGAGTCTGCAGTGTTCCGTTCTGTAAGATCGTGTGGATTGGTATATATTCGCGACCTTCCGCAAAGGGCCACGTTGTTGGATGGAATCCACCCCCTATTGCGTTATTATTGGTAATTGAAAGCATCGGACTGGGCGTTGGCGAGATATGAGGTGCCTCCCTCATGGAGTTCCAGCTATATAGCGTTTGTTCCATCGGTCCCTCTTTAGCGACTCTTTGTGTTTTTCTGGTTATCCCTCCCCATATGGTTGGCTGTACAGGGGTTGCAGGGCCCTCTCGTGCCATCGCCACCCATTGTTTTTGTTGAGGCTCCGCGTGCCACTCAATAATTTGCTGCAGAACCGTGGCCTGGTGGTACTTCTTAAAATCAGGTAGCGCTAGGCCACCGCGAGATCTGGGTAGGCAGAGTAGGTCGTATCTCAGTCGTGCCCTCTCTCCCCGCCATACGTATCGTATGACCGCGGATCTCAAAGCGGAGAAGAAGGTTGCCGGCAGGGCAAGAGGTATTGTTTGGAACAGATATAGCAGTCTCGGTAGGATGTTCATCTTGAGAACTGCTATCCGTCCGTGCCATGAGACGTGTGGGTATGCCCATCTTTCCAAGTCTGTCATTATCCTCTTCAGGAGAGGGGCAAAGTTATGCCGATATAGGTCTTTAGGGTTCGGGGTTATCCAAATCCCAAGGTACTTCATTTTTTGGAAGCACCACCGGAATGGAAACAGTGACTCCAGAGCCAGGAATTCATCATCGGGCATGGATACGTTTAACACTTCACACTTCGACAGGTTGAGTCTGAAGCCGGAGATCGAGCCGAATTTCTCGAACTCCGCCAACAAGCAAGGCATCGCGATCCGAGGGCTGGTTATGTAAAAAAGGAGATCATCCGCGTATGCGGCGACCTTATGGGTCGTGTCCTGCCACGTAAAGCCCCCGATGTCCGGGTGTTGGCGTATCTTCTGAAGCAGGGGTTCCAGCGATATGGCAAAGAGTAGCGGGGATAGGGGGCATCCTTGCCTTGTGCCATTGGAAATTTCAAAATCTCCGGTGAGTGCTCCATTGACGCGTACCGCGGCCCGCGGTTTGTCATATAAGGCCCGGATCATCGTAAGGAATCTGCGTCCCGCCCCCATCTGGTCGAGGGTAGCGAACATGTAAGGCCATTTCACCCGGTCGAATGCCTTCTCGGCATCCGTGGAAATCAAGAGAAGGGGTTGTCGTGTATTCCTCGCTTGGTGTTGCAGCGCAAAGAGTCGTAGGGTACTGTCCCTTGCTTCTCGTCCGGGTATGAATCCCGTTTGATCCTTGTGTATAAGCGAAGGGAGAATGGATTGGAGTCTGGTAGCTAGCACCTTTGTAAAAAGTTTTGTATCCACGTTTAATAATGAAATCGGGCGGTAGCTGCCACAGAGCATGGGGTCCTTTCCGGGTTTGGGGAGGACAGTTATGGTAGCCGCCAGGGATTCAGCTCCGAAATGGCCTCCGTCCGCGACAGCGTTGAGGGCCTTCGTGAGCCACGGCAGGGTTATCGATGGGAACGTTTTATAGTAACCCGTGGAAAATCCATCCGGGCCTGGTGCTTTCCCCCTCTTGGCCGCCTTCAAGGCCGCCGCTAGTTCCTCTTCTGTGATCGGGTTTTCTAGTTCGGTCGCCACATCCGGCTGGATTGTTGGTCCTATCGCCTCGCGGAGGTATTCTTGTGTGCGTGCCGCTATCGCTGCTGACTGCGACTGTGTTTCCATCGCATCTAAGTTGTATAAGGATCTGTAGAATGACTGGAATTCCCCCGCAATGTCCGTCGGGAGGCCAGACATCCCGCCCGATGTAAGGTGTAATTTGCGAACCTGGGTGCGGGGTGTCTGGCCCTTTAGTAGGCGGGCAAGGAATCGTCCCCCCTTATTGGCATGGGTGTAAAAGAATGCCTTAGAGCGTTGCAATGCTCCTTTAGTTGTCGTCTGGATTGCATCAGCGTTGCAGGGTACGGTGGTGGCGTTTCACCAGGAGCTCCTTTAGTTGTCGTCTGGATTGCATCAGGTCCCGGTATATCTCCATGAGGTGTGACCTTTTATGCTGAGCTTCCAGATCTGTGATTCGCCTGTAGAGGTTAGCCATCTCGCTCATCGTCGCCTTCTTCTTATGTGAGGCTATGCGTATGAGCGTGCCCCGCAGGACGCTTTTATGGGCCTCCCAGAGCGATATTGGAGAGATGTCTGGGGTCGCGTTATCCTGAAAGTATTGAGTCAATGCCTGGGAGATTTGTTCCCGTGTGCCAGGGTCCAGGAGGAGGGACTCGTTAAGTCTCCACGTCCACACGGAAGGTCGAAAAAGTGGGGACTCGAGCTCCACTACAACTGGGCCGTGATCCGACCACGTGGCCGGTTCTATCTTGGCCGAGATCAGGCTCGATAGCCCAGTTTGTCTAATAAAGAGGTAGTCGATGCGGGAGTATCTATCGTGAAGCGCGGAGTAGTATGTAAAGTCTTTCACTGATGGGTTGAGTGTTCTCCAGCAATCCGCTAGATCCATGTCGCCCAGGGCTCTTCGGATAGCTCGTATATGTAGTTGAGTGACGCTACTGTGTCCCGTAGAGGAGTCCAAAAGAGGATCCAGCGGGACATTAAAGTCGCCTCCTAGGATTAGGATGCCCTCGGAGAAGTCCTTTAGTTTTGCCAGGGTGCTTTTCAAGAACATGGCTTGTCGTTTGTTGGGGACATAAATGTTGGCGAAGGTGTATATCTTACCCGCTATTGCCCCCTTTAAAAAGAGGTATCTGCCCTGAGTGTCCCTAATGCTGTCCAGTTCCTGGAGCTCCAGTCCGGCGTATATCAGTATTGCAACCCCCGCCTTTCTTGCCGTAGGGTGGTTGCAGAAGTGGTTTGTTGGGTACGATTTATTCTGGAGCTTGGGTGCCGCCCCGGGACGAAAGTGCGTCTCCTGTAGCATTGCCACCGATATATGTCTTTTCTTAAGTTCTCGCAGGAGGTGGGACCTCCGTTCCGGGATGTTCAATCCCCTGCAATTAAGGGTGAGGACAGATATAGGAGCCGGTCGATAGGCCATGGTTTCTCAGGTGCGTGTGGTAAGCGATGTATACCCAAATTTCTACTCACCCCTGTCTGACTCTCGTCACCCCGCGTGGGCGCAGGCCCCCGTGGCAGGCCAATTGGAACGGGGAGGGATGGAGACCGTCTTAGGCGGTAGTCAGGCGGATAGAGGGTAGGGTAGGGGTGGTGGGGAGCGAGAAGGGGAAGGATGACCAAAGGGGGTAGAAGAGAGCAGGGATAGGGGTAAGTTGGCAGAGAGAGAGAAGAGAAAGAGAAGAAAGGTGAATGTCCCGTCCGATGAACGGTTTTTCTGGGGTAAGGGGTACCCCTCGTGTGCCACCCCAACGAGTGGGGTGACTCGTGCTACGGCGGGCAGCCCAGGGGGCACGTCCAGGTAACCAGACCTATGGACGGTGACCCACTGTGGCCCGTCGTGTGTCTTGAGCACGAGTGTGGGTTGAGGTGTGCGAGTCAGTACTCGACCAAGTGGTATCCAATGGATGTGAGGAAGGCAGAGCCGTCCACATAGTACCCCGTGTTTGCTGGATACATATTTCTCATGAAGCGATTTAATGCATAGATGAACAGTTAAGAATAACAGAACAACAGCGCGTGTGGCAACTAAACAGCGTAATAACAAGCATACGACAATCAACAGATTCCATCCCGCCCGTCAGTCCCGAGACTCCCAAGGATCGTCCCCCCCCTCCCTCCCGCCATCGTTTTCACAGCTCCCCTTATAGAGGTAATGCTCACAGTGTCCGTCCTGAGGTCGGGAGGTCAATGTTGGTCATGTGAGGTGGTCCCTCGTCCGCCCCACGCCCCCTCCCCAGTCGTGTATGTACAGGTAGGGGGCCCGTGTCTGTCCAGTTTCATATTGTATTGTCCCCCCTCCCTCCCCTGTAGCCCGCCCAACTCCAATGCGTGTAGTATGAGGTGGGAATAGGCAGCATGCATCTTAGCACCAAAGGAGGGTCCCCCCCCCGCGTGACCCCCCCGCGGGCGCTATGTGGCGTGCCCAACCCAATTATCACCCGGGGGAACAGATTTATGCAGAGCAGTCCAAAGTCTCATTGCTAGGCCTTAGTACAAGGCACCTATAGCTGGATCATAATGGTGGGTTTCAGGTTGTGATGTCTTCACGCTATATGAAGCACAGATGAAGTGTCCAGGAGCGTTTGAGATTTGCGCCTTTGTCCTCACTGCCCATCCAGTTTCCCCACTCCCCATTGTACCCCCCACCCAAACCAGAGGAGGAGAGAAAATAAAAATAAAATTTTTTATAAAAATAAAATTGTTTTTATACATAAGGGTATCCCCATCTACCCCCCCTCCCGGCCAAGTGAATCCTCACATGTGCCATGTCCCGAGTTGGGGAGGGATGGGAGCCGAGTGCCGGGTGCGTGCGTGAAGGTTGTGGCATGCGGGCATAAATTTCGAATGGGGCCATGGGGAAGTGTCCCTTTATCAATCCACTCATTGCTGCTCTGCGTGCAAACTTTCCAGAGTTACCCCGGTTGTGGGTTAGCGGCTCTTTCAGGAGTCAGTTACGGGTGGGAACATGCGAGCCACGCAAGCAGGAGGAACGGGGAGGGGGGGAGGGGGGCTGCTGCCCTGTTCGCATGGCAACGGACTGAGAATCTGGGGTCGCCTTGACGGGATAATGGGGGAGTCGGGGTACGGTCAGGGAGCCCCCCTCTCTGGGAGTGTTACTCACTCAGCCTGGCCTCCCGGGTCCATGCGCCGCCTGGGAAGTTGCCGAGGAGGGGATCCTTCCCTGCGCCTCCGTGGAGCTCTCTGTGGTCGCGGTACTTGTCCTACGGGTCCAAGGACCCAGTTTGTGACCGGGATGGGTGGTATCCCCAAAGTCTCCAGGAAACGTGGTATCTCCGCCGGCCATCTTGCAGATATCCAGCCGTCTTGGTGGCGGGCCATCAGTGCGAACGGGAAGCCCCATTTGTAGTTGACGTGGCGGTCACGTAGGGCAGTTGTGACCGGCCTCAGGGCTCTCCTGGCGGTAAGTGTGAGGGGGGAGAGGTCGTTATAGAGGGATACCTGGGCGTTTCGGTACGTCCATTCCGGGCGTTCACGGGCCCTCTTCATGATAGAGTCTTTGACGGGGAAGGAGTGGAGGCAGCAGATGAGGTCCCTCGGCCCGTCTTCAGGTAAACGGGGTCGGGTGGCTCTGTGCGCCCGTTCAAATTCAAACTGATGGGGTGCCTCTTCCTGCAGCAACATGTTGAAGAGGCCTGTCAGAACCTCCTCCGCGTCTTCCTCCCCCTCTGCCTCTGGGACCCCGCGGACCCGGATGTTGCACCTGCGGCCTCTATTGTCGAGGTCCTCCAGATGTCTTCTCATGTCGAGGAGCATTTCTCCTTGCCGTGAGACCGCCACATCAGTAGCTGAGATCCTGTTGGATTGGGCCTCCGTGGAGTGTTCTAGGGCTTCTATGCGGCTTCCTTGAGCGGTAACGTCCGCTCTGATGCCCGCCATCTCCGCCCTCAGGGCGTCCTGTATCGTGGTGGTGAGGGTGAGCAGGTCAGTTTTAGTGGCCATAGATGCTGCAATGGATCGGAGTTCTTCGCTTATCCGGTCCAGGGCAGAGTGTTCTGTGCCCATGGACGAGGCAGGAGATGACGGTGCCGACCTCGGGCCTACCGCCTCCCCTCCAGACCCAGGAGTCGGCTGCAGAAAGGAGTCCATGGGACCCTGAGATTGGGTTTGTTGGGAGCCCCTCGGTGTCTGTGGGGGCTCCGTGCGCCTGTTGCGACCCATCCGTTGCCTGTGGCTATATTTAATCGCCGTTTTAGGGGTGTTGTGGAGTGGAGCTCACAGATTAAGCTGCCATCTTGGTCCAGGTCCTGGCCACGCCCCTCCGCTGCCGCCCTTACTTTTATTCTATATTTCCCCACCCCCTTTACTTTCAGTCTTTTTTTCTCTCCCCACCCCCTTTCCTTTCAGTCTCTCTCTCTCTCTCTCTCTCCCCACACCCATTACTTTCAGTCTCTCTCCCCACACTCATTACTTTCAGTCTTTTTCTCCCCACCCCCTTACTTTCAGTTTCTCTCCTCACCCCCCTTACTTCCAATATCTGCATCCCCACCCTCTTACTTTCTCCCCCCACTCCATTTCTTTCAGGGGGTGCCCTTACTTGCCTATATTTCCCCACCCCTTTACTTTCAGTCTTTTTTTCTCCCCACCCCCTTTCCTTTCAGTCTCTCTCTCTCTCTCTCTCTCCCCACACCCATTACTTTCAGTCTCTCTCCCCACACTCATTACTTTCAGTCTTTTTCTCCCCACCCCCTTACTTTCAGAGTCTCTCTCTCTCTCTCTCTCTCTCTCTCTCTCTCTCTCTCTCCCCACCCCCATTACTTTCAGTCTCCCCCCACACACCCCCGTGTCTGTATTCATAGCCCCTCGTCATGTCCTCAAGACAGGTCAATAAGGGGGTAAGATTTGGACAACACTCCTCGCTGATCTGAAACAAATTGGTTTGACCCAATTTTCCTCCTCTTTCTCTCCCCTGAACATGTGTGAAAACATGTCTCTCTCCTCCACCCTTCACTTTCAGTCTCTCTTTCCCCACCCCCTTACTTTTACTTTCAGTCTCTCTCTCCCCACCCCTTGCTTTCAGTCTCTCTCTCCCCACCCCCTTACACTTCAGTCTCTCTCTCCCACCCCTTACTTTCCAGTCTCTCTCTCCCCACCCCCTTACTTTCAGTCTTTCTCGCTTTCCCCTTACTTTCCAGTCTCTCTCCCCACCCCTTACTTTCAGTCTCTCTCCCCCACCCCCTTGCTTTCAGTCTATATCTCCCACCCCCTTACTTTCAGTCTCTCTCCTCACCCCCCTTACTTCCAATATCTGCCTCCCCACCCTCTTACTTTCTACCCCACCCCCTTTCTTTCAGCCTCTCTCCCTCCACCCCCTTACTTTTATTCTATATTTCCCCACCCACCTTACTTTCAGTCTTTTTTTCTCTCCCCACCCTCTTTCCTTTCAGTCTCTCTCCCCACCCCCATTACTTTCAGTCTCCCTCCCACCCCTTGCTTTTAGTCTCTATCTCTCTCCCCACCCCATTGCTTTCAGTGTCTCTCTCTCTCTCCTCTCTCCTCTCCTGTCTCCCCACCCCATTGCCTCAGTCTGTCTCCTCCCCACCCCATTACTTTCAGTCTGTCTCTCCCCACCCCATTGCTTTCAGTCTGTCTCTCCCCACCCCATTGCTTTCAGTCTGTCTCTCCCCACCCCCGTACTTTCAGTCTCTTTCTCCCCACCCCCTTACTTTCGGTCTCTTTCTCCCCACCCCTTACTTTTCAGTATCTTTCTCCCCACCCCTTGCTTTCAGTCTCTCTCCCCACCCCATTCTTTCAGTCTCTTTCTCCCCACCCCCTTACTTTCAGTCTGCTGTCCACACCATTACTTTCAGTCTTTCTCCCCACCACCCTTGCTTTCAGTCTCTTTCTCCCCACCCCTTACTTTCAGTCTCTCTCCCCACCCCATTACTTTCAGTCTCTCTCTCCCCACCCTATTGCTTTCGGTCTCTCTCCCTCATTGCTTTCCGGTTTCTCTCACCCCATTGCCTCAGTCTCTCTCTCCCCACCCCCATTACTTTCAGTCTCTTTCTCCCCACCCCCCTTGCTTTCAGTCTCTCTCCCACCCCACTTTGTTAGCACGTCTCTTTCTACCCACACCCTTTACTTTCAGGCTCTTTCTCCCCATCGCCATTACGTTCAGTTTCTCTCTCCCACCCCCCATTACTTTCAGTCTCTCTCTCTCCACCCCCATTACTTTCAGTTTCTCTCTCCCCACCACCCCAGTAATCATTCTGTGTCTTTCAGAAAAAATCCGTAAAAATGTCAAAATCCCTTCTGTGTTTGTTGGAGAATCTTCTGGGAAGGAGCTGCTTAGCCATTACTCCTACTATGATAAGTAAGAGCGCCCCACCTGGTGTATTTCTTGATAAGTAAGCGCGCCCCCATCGGGTGTATCTCCTGAGAAGTAGCTGCATCCCATCTGGTGTATCCTGTGATAAGTAATAGCACCCCCATCTGGTGTATCCTGTGATAAGTAATAGCACCCTCATCTAGTGTATCCTGTGATAAGTAAATACATCCCAGCCTGGTGTCTCTTCTGATAAGTTAGACCTCCCCAACAGGCGTACCCCGTGATAACTAAGTTCACCCCAACCTGGTGTATCTCATGATAAATAAGAGCACCCCCACTAGGCATATCTCAGTATAAGTAAGTGCGCCCCCACCTGGCACATATCAAAATAAGTAAGTGCACCCCACCTTGTGTATCTACTGATAAGTAAGTGTGTCCCCATCTGGTATATCTCATAATAAGTTAGAGCGCCTCCACCTGGCATATTCCATGATAAGTAATATCGCTTTTACCAGGTATTTCTTGTAGATAAAGAACACCAATATTTTTTGTGATAAAGAAGTGTGCCTCCATTTTGACGTTGCCCTTTGTTAGTGAGCGTTCCTCCAACATAGTTTTTCTGATAATTAGTTTGGCGCCCGTCTGGCTTTTTTTGTGTTAAGTTAGAGGAAATCAGTGTTTGATAAAATGCTGATTATTAGCTCTAATACAATTCTCCTCTCACAGCGCCATTGTCTTCATGGTTCCGGAGTATAACTTCTCACTGGGATATTATCTCATCCCCTTCATTGTGGTCGTGGCTCTGGTGATCATCGTCATGTGTATTGTCATGGTAAGACGTCATATATTGCCACATTATAACAGGAGGATAATTTGTGTAAATTGTCTTATAGAAAATTAAATGTTTGTATCGAATAAAAGTAGTACATATCGACTGGTCACAGCGGTGGTAATACCACGGCCTTGCACTGGAAAGCCCAGGTAGGAATCCCAGCCAGACCACCTAACCAGTACCAATATATAGCTGCCTAATACAAGTCCTCGTGGATTGCAAACTGGTTTTAAGGAGGGCCTAACTCCAATTATAGAAAGGGAATATTTGCAAGTAAATAGTGGAATAATAATGATATGTACTTACAGTTATTCCCTAGATCTGGGGCACATTGTACAAGTCCTTACCTTTCTCCTACATATGGAAGACCCCTCGTTCATAGATGTGTCTATAGCTCCATCCATGAAAAACATGAATAGAGTCGTTAGAAACATAGACATAGAAACATAGACACAGATGTAACGGCTACCCCAGTGGAGAGGTGGTATCACCTGTTGGAGACGTCCTTTTAACCGGCAAGATGCTGTGCAGTAATAGCCATCTTTCTATCAGCTGGATCCAAGTAGAGAGAGAGAGAGAGAGAGGTAGAGCTCTCAAAAGAGCTAGTGATTAGCTTAGCAGGTTCCCTTTCAATAACGAAACAAAGCTACGTTTTGAAGGGTAAAGTAGAACTGAGGTTTAATGACAGGTATTCTCCTTTTATGTGGTGCTCCCATGCAAGGGAGATACCCACAGACAATTAGACGTTAACCAATCAGACAATGGTTACAACCCACAGATCCCCTCCCCTCTGCTTGGGAGATAATTGAGTTTCTTACTGTATCTACTCAATTATCTCCAAGCTAAAATTTATACTTTTTATGCATTTTTATAACTTTCAGATTTTTCATCATACAGGAATAAAACTTGTATTTTAATGAACAACACAACTTGGGGAAAAACATATTCAAAATTTGTACAAATCCGTTCAGGGGTTCCAGAAATATTAAAAAGTCTCTTTGGACCGACCGCACGCCTGTTTGCATGCCCAAAACAGTTCCACAGATTCAGGCTGTGCGGTCGGTCTATTTCTGCCCTGAAAAATAACAAAGTCCCATGCGAAGGCGGCGTTCGAGTCATCGAACGCACTTCGACTTCTGTCGAAGTGAAACCGGGGTTAAGTTTCAGTGGTGTTCGTTAGTTAAGTGAAGGTCTATTTTACACCAAAATGACACAGTCCCATTCGAACATGCATTTGAATCTTCGAACGGGACTTAGTCTCTAGCCGCAGTGTCGAAGGGTAGGGAAGGTTCAGGTCAGTGGTGTTTGTTCAAATGTGTGGCCAATTTCCGTTCCAGGGATTTGACGGCACACACCGCTGACCGCGTTCGACTGTATTAAAATGGCCGCCGCCACATGTTCGATTGTCTAATGGCGGCCACTTCGACTACTTCAGGCTGTATCCGAAATGCCATATCAAACGTACCAATCCTTTGCACAAAAAAGTTAAAGGGCCAGACACAGTCTTTGTTCTTTGGTAGAGGCAATGTGGATGATGGCAACAACAAACAAAAGGTAGAGGTTCCCAGGCAACATGGTAGGGGGTTGTTACATGGCTCCCCTTTGTGGAACACCCCGGCAGACCCGGCTTCATCCTTTTCGGGTCAACTTTGGGATGTCCAGGCTGCTGCTAGGGCATAAGTTCTGTTTGCCTGGACAGTCCATCCGCATTCCCGTCAAGCTTGCCAGGTCGATACTGGATGGAAAAATTATATGGTTGAGGAGCCAAGCTCCATCTCAGTAGTCAGCCATTATCTCCTGCCACTCTATTCAACTAGACAAGAGGGTTGTGGTCAGTAATTAGGGTAAATTCCTGACCATACAAATACGGGGTGAGTTTCTTTAGAGCCCAGACCAGGGCTAGGCACTCCTTCTCCACTGCCGCATAACTCACCTCCCTGGGTAACAATTTTCTACTCAGATACGCTACATCTTCCCCGATCTGGTTTAGAACTGCCCCCAGTCCGTACATGGAAGCATCTGTATGGACGACAAATCGTTTGTTAGGGACGGGGGCAGATAGTACAGGAGCGTTTATTAGAGCTTTCTTTAAGGCTTGGAAGGCTGTTTTGCAGGAGAGAGACCACAGGAGTAGTCCCAGAAGATTGGAAGTTAGTGAATGTTGTGCCCATTTACAAGAAAGGTAATAGGGATGAACATCTAAAAACACATGGATTTCAAGATTAGAGACAACATGGGTTTACTTCAGGGAGATCATGCCAAACTAATCTTATTGATTTTTCTGATTGGGTAACTAAAATTATAGATCAGGGTGGTGCAGTAGACATTGCTTACCTAGTTTTCAGTAAGGCTTTTGACACTGTTGCACATAGAAAGCTTATCAATAAACTGCAATCTTTAAGTTTGGATTCCAATATTGTTGAATGGGTAAGGCAGTGGCTGAGTGACAGGCAACAGAGGGTTGTAGTTAATGGAATATATTTGAAGCTTGGACTTGTCACCAGTGGGGTACCTCAGGGATCTGTACTTGGACCCATTCTCTTTAATATTTTTATTAGTGATATTGCAGAAGGTCTTGATGGTAAGGTATGTCTTTTGCTGATGATACTAAGATATGTAACAGGGTTGATGTTCCAGGAGGGATAAGCCAAATGACAAATGATTTAGGTAAACTAGAAAAATGGTCAGAATTGTGGCAACTGACATTTAATGTGGATAAGTGCAAGATAATGCATCTTGGACGTAAAAACCCAAGGGCAGAGTACAGAATATTTGATAGAGTCCTAACCTCAACATATGAGGAAAGGGATTTAGGGGTGATTATTTCTGATGACTTAAAGGTAGGCAGACAATGTAATAGAGCAGCAGGAAATGCTAGCAGAATGCTTGGTTGTATAGGGAGAGGTATTAGCAGTAGAAAGAGGGAAGTGCTCATGCCATTGTACAGAACACTGGTGAGACCTCACTTGGAGTATTGTACACAGTACTGGAGACCGTATCTTCAGAAGGATATTGATACCTTAGAGAGGGTTCAGAGAAGGGCTACTAAACTGGTTCATGGATTGCGGGATAAAACTTACCAGGAAAGGTTAAAGGATCTTAACATGTATAGCTTGGAGGAAAGACGAGACAGGGGGGATATGATAGAAACATTTAAATATATAAAGGGAATCAACACAGTAAAGGAGGAGACTATATTTAAAAGAAGAAAAACTACCACAACAAGAGGACATAGTCTTAAATTAGAGGGACAAAGGTTTAAAAATAATATCAGGAAGTATTACTTTACTGAGAGGGTAGTGGATGCATGGAATAGCCTTCCAGCTGAAGTGGTAGAGGTTAACACAGTAAAGGAGTTTAAGCATGCGTGGGATAGGCATAAGGCTATCCTAACTATAAGATAAGGCCAGGGACTAATGAAAGTATTTAGAAAATTGGCCAGACTAGATGGGCCGAATGGTTCTTATCTGCCGTCACATTCTATGTTTCTATATGTTTCTATGTTTCTACTCTAGGAAGGTTCTTTTTAGTTAGGTCTGTCAGGGGTTTAGCAATGGTGCTATAGTCAGGGACGAATTTCCTGTAATACCCAGCTCTCTCTAGAAAGGCCAGTGCCTGGGTCTTGGTGTGGGGGGGTGGGCCAGTTAGCAACGGCCTCTACCTTGGCTGGCTTGGGATGTTGCTTCCCACACCCCACCCGGTGTCCCAAGTACTGGTCTTCGGCCATGCCAATGTGGCACTTTTACGGCTTCAGAGTTAGGCCAGCAGCCCGAATCTGGTCCAGTATGGCCTCTACATGCTTCAGATGCTCCCCCCATGTCTCACCATAGATCGCAATGTCATCCAGGTACGCACAAGCGAAGCCCTGGAAGCCATCAAGGAGCCTATCCACCAAGCGTTGGAACGTGGCTGGGGCATTCTTCATCCCGAATGGCATGACCTTAAATTGGTATAGGCCTAACGGGGTGATGAATGCCGACTTGGGAATAGCCTCCTTGGCCAGGGGAATCTGCCAGTATCCCTTACATAAATTGATAGTGATCAGATAGCGTCCCCTGGCAATGCGATCTAATAGCTCATCCACTCGGGGCATTGGATAAGCGTCAGTCACTGTACGGTCATTGAGGCGTCATTAGTCAACACAGAACCCGGGTGGCTCCGTCCCTTTTGGGGACTAAAATGACTGGAGAGGCCCAGGGGCTGTCTGAGGGCTTGTTAACCCCTAAGTGAAGCATCTCCAGTATCTCTTTTCTCATCTCTTCCTTAACTGCCTCGGGGATTCAGTAGGGGGTTGTCTAAGGGGTGCTTGTCCCGGGGTCTCAACGTGGTGGGTCGCTAGTGTGGTGTACCCTGGTTCTTGGGAGAAAGTTGATTCTTTTTCCATTAGCAGCTGCCTAAGTTGGCCCTTTTCTGCGGGATTTATGCGCTCCCCTAGTTGGACGGTACTGAGTAGGCTACGGGGCACTGGGCGAGCTAGGAAATCTGGGATAGGCAGACTGTCAGGGTCGTCTGTAGCGGGGATACATATGGCCGCAATAACTTCCGGCCTCTCCTGATACTCCTTCAAGAGGTTAACATGGGATAACAAGGATTTCTGAATCCTTTCATCCTTATTGCTGGCAATCACATAGGACCTTCTGTCCCACCTGGAACGATCGCTGTCGGGCACCCCGGTCCCACCATCGTTTCTGTCGACCCTTGGCCGCATGGAGATGGTCTCGTGCCATCCGGGCCAATTGCTCCATGCGGACTCGCATCTCCAGAACGTATGGCACAATGGGGACACCCTCATGCCCCATCTCCCCCTCCCAGTGCTGCTGAATGAGGTCAAGGGGTCCTCTGACCATAAAGCAGTTCGAAAGGGGAGAAGCAGTGGATTCCTGGGGCACCTGTCGATATGCGAACAAGAGGTGCGGCAGAAATCGCTCCCAGTCTCTGTACTCATCTGTAAAGGTCCGCAGTAACTGTTTAAGGGTACCATTAAAATGCTCACAGAGACCGTTAGTCTGGGGGTGGTAAGGTGAGCTGAGTAGGGGTTTGATACTGCAGACCTTCCATAATTGTTGGGTGAGGTCTGCGGTAAACTGAGTCCCCCTGTCAGACAGTATTTCCTGCGGGAACCCCACTCTGGTGAATATCCCGACCAAGGCACTGGCAACAGTATCAGCCTGGATATTCGTCAGAGCGACTGCTTCCGGGTAGCGGGTAGCATAGTCCACCATGGTAAGAATATATGTCTTACCCGATGGACTGGGGTTGGGTAGGGGGCCAACTAGATCGACTGCCACCCTGCTAAAAGGTTCCTCGATCACTGGCATGGGTGACAGTCTGGCCTTAGGGTGGTCCCCTCTTTTCCCTACTCGCTGGCAAACGTCACACGTGCTGCAGTAACGTTGCACATCCTTAGAGATCCCCGGCCAAAAGAAGGTCTGGGTGATCCTGTAGGTTGTACGGTTACCACCCAGGGGTCCTGCAAAGGGAATATTGTGTCCGATTTGGAGAAGCTCCAACCGGTACTTTCTGGGTACCACTAGTTGGTGCTTCTGCGAAGGGGCACAGCATCTCCTCCTACCTTCCGTCAACCTATACAGTCTGTCATTATCCCATATAAAACGTTCATGCTCATCCCCCCACTCTCTGCTTTCTCCCAGTACTTTTAGAGGGATGGGTTCTCTCTAGTTTCCCTCCCAAACTCCTCTGGTGTATCCCAAGCTAAGGGTCTATTAACTATGGTCGGGGAAAGGGTCAGTGAGGTTTTTACCTGGGTCTCCCGTCCTGGTGTAGGGTCCTCTGCGACACGGGTCTGTGATTGAGTGGTCACTGGGCAAGCAGCAGCAGTGTTACTGGGTAAGTAGGCAGAAGCCAGAGGGCCAATATCATTGCCCAACACAACTTCTGCAGGCAAGTTGTTCACGATACCCACAGTATTTTTCACAGATCCGATTCCCCAGTCCAGGTGCACTCGGGCACTGGGGAGGCGAAAGACAGCTCCTCCAGCAACACGTACAGCGACGGTGCGGTTGGACAGGTGTGCTGGTTTAACTAAATGCCTTTGCATCAGGGTGATGGTAGCGCCTGTGTCTCTCAGGCCTTGGGCTATCTGGCCATTCACTCGTACCTCTTTGGTGGTGATGCTGACGGTTGTCTGGGGATGCGGCTTGTATAGGGTCCGCCTCATACAGGATGCCCAGGCATTCCTCTGGCCCCAGCTCAGTCTCCAGGCAGTGGGCGGCAGAGGCACAAGGTGTTGTGGGCTCAGCGTTGGGTGCGGGGTGCCTCCAGTTAGTAGCAGAAGCAGACGACATGTCCAGTATTGCTGCACCAATGGCAAGTGGTCTTGGATAGATCTCGGGGGTAGTTGCTGGACCCCTGGGGGCGAGAAGGCCCTGGGGGTATGGGAGCATGAAATTATGAGCAAGGAACTGGGGCTGGGGTACGGTGCTCCACATGGTTAGGTTGCCGGAGAGTGCTTTGGCTCACCTTTCTAGTTTCAGTGTACTCATCCGCCAAGCGAGCCGCATCGTTTCAGGTGAGGGGACGGCGGTCTCGTACCCAGTCCTGTACATTGGCAGATAAGTCCTGGAAAAAATGCTCCATCAGGAACAGCTGTAACACTTCCTCCCTGGTGTTGGTGTGGCAACTTTTGACCCAGTAGGATGCCACTCATTGTAGCCGGCAAACCCATTCCATGTGGGAGTCCACAGCCCTTTTCTTGGACTCCCGGAAGTGGCGACGGTAAGTCTCTGGGGTCACGGCATACCTGGTGAGAAGTGCATCCTTAACCAGTTGGTATTGGCTGTTGTGGCATTACCATTTGTAGATTGTACTCCCTCCTCTTTTCAATCTCTGCCTCGACCTCTACGAAGGTCCAGTCAATCCTTTCCTCGGATGGGGCCGGATACATAGCTAGCCTTCCCTGGACGATGAGGCGGATCTCCTCCTCCTCCTCATTGTTCTGGAAACTCAGTTCGAGGGCTTCCATAGACTGATCCATCTCGTCCGGCTCTAGCAGATCAGCAATCAGCTCTCTCCGTGGTCTGTTACTCTGCTCTCCTTCAGCATAGGTCTCTTCAGTTTGGCATATTGGTTCTCCATTCAGCGCTTGCTCTGTGGATGAAAGGACCATCCGGCCGCTGCCACCAATGTAACGGCTACCCCAGTGGAGAGGGGTATCAGCAGTTGGAGACGTCCTTTTAACCGGCAAGATGCTGTGCAGTAATAGAGTAGCCTTCTTTCTATCAGCTGGATCCAAGTAGAGAGAGAGGGAGAGGTAGAGCTCTCAAAAGAGCTAGTGATTAGCTGAGCAGGTTCCCTTTCAATAACGAGACAAAGCTACGTTTTGGTAAAGTAGAACTGAGGTTCAATGACAGGTACTCTCCTTTTATGTGGTGCTCCCATGCAAGGGAGACACCCACAAACAATTGGACGTTAACCAATCAGACAATGGTTACATCCCACAGATTCCCTCCCCTATGCTTGGGAGATAATTGAGTTTCTTACTGTATCTACTCAATTATCTCCAAGCTAAAACTTATACTTTTTATGCATTTTTATAACTTTCTGATTTTTCATCATACAGGAATAAAACATATTTTAATGAACAACACAACTTGGGGAAAAACATATTCAAAATTTGTACTAATCCATTCAGGGGTTCCAGAAATATTAAAAAGTCTCTTTGGACCGACCGCACGCCTGTTTGCATGCCCAAAACAGTTCCACAGAATCAGGCTGTGCAGTCGGTCTATTTCTGCCCTGAAAAATAACAAAGTCCCATCCGAGGGCGGCGTTCGAATCATCGAACGCACTGCGACTTCTGTCGAAGTGAAACCGGGGTTAAGTGTCAGTGGTGTTCGTTAGTTAAGTGAAGGTCTATTTTACACCAAAATTACACAGTCCAATTTGAACGTGCGTTCGAATCTTCGAACGGGACTTAGTCTCCAGCCGTAGTGTCGAAGGGTAGGGGAAGGTACAGGTCAGCGGTGTTCGTTCAAATGTGTGGCTGATTTAAATTCCAGGGATTTGACGGCACACACCGCTGACCGCGGGCGACTGGATTAAAATGGCCGCCGCACACAGTGTCTCCCCGCACACAGTGTATTATAACTGCAGCTATGAGGTTATGGTGTTAGGAGGTCCCTTGTCTCCCCGCACACAGTGTATTATAACTGCAGCTATAAGGTTATGGTGTAAGGAGGTCCCCTGTCTCCCCACACACAGTGTATTATAACTGCAGCTATAACGTTATGGTGTAAGGAGGTTGCCGGCCTCCCTGCTCACAGTGTATTATAACTGCAGGTATAAAGTTATGGTGTAAGGAGGCCCCCTGTCTCCCCACACACAGTGTATTATAACTGCAGTTATAAGGTAATGGTTTAAGGAGGTCCCCTGTCTCCCCACACACAGTGTATTATAACTGCAGCTATAACATTATGGTGTAAGGAGGTTGCCTGTCTCCCTGCACACAGTGTATTATAACTGCAGGTATAAAGTTATGGTGTAAGGAGGTCCCAGTTCTCCCCACACACCGTGTATTGTAACTGCAGCTATAAGGTTATGGTGTAAGAGGTCCCCTGTCTCCCTGCACACAGTGTATTATGTTGTGTTGTTGCTGTGTTTTGCCGTTTAGCGCTAACTGTATATTGATTAATATTCTGTCTTGGCAGGTAGTGCGCTGTTTGCAGCACAGAAAGAGGATGCGCAGGAATCGCCTGTCTAAGGAACAGCTAAAGAAACTCCCCATCCACAAATTTAAAAAAGGTGAGAGAGAATTTCCAAATTATTTAAAGTAAATTGCACATTTTAAAGGGACACTATAGTCACCTGAACAACTTTAGCTTAATGAAGCAGTTTTGATGTATAGAACATGGCCCTGCAGCCTCACTGCTCAATCCTCTGCCATTTAGGAGTTAAATCCCTTTGTTTATGAACCCTAGTCACACCTCCCTGCATGTGACTTGCACAGCCTTCCATAAACACTTCCTGTAAAGAGAGCCCTATTTAGGCTTTCTTTATTGCAAGTTCTGTTTAATTAAGATTTTCTTATCCCCTGCTATGTTAATAGCTTGCTAGACCCTGCAAGAGCCTCCTGTATGTGATTCAAGTTCAATTTAGAGATTGAGATACAATTATTTAAGGTAAATTACATCTGTTTGAAAGTGAAACCAGTTTTTTTTTCATGCAGGCTCTGTCAATCATAGCCAGGGGAGGTGTGGCTAGGGCTGCATAAACAGAAACAAAGTGATTTAACTCCTAAATGACAGTGAATTGAGCAGTGAAATTGCAGGGGAATGATCTATACACTAAAACTGCTTTATTTAGCTAAAGTAATTTAGGTGACTATAGTGTTCCTTTAAGCCTCAGTAGTGAAGTGAAATTGAGCTTAGTGGATGTTTCAGTTTGGTTGTTTTAGACACTTTTAATTTTTGACAAGTTATAATTTATCGTTTTAATCAGTAAACACCGAGTTTAGTGAATAATTCCAACACAGTCCGATTGCCGTTTTACCTTTCTTCCTCCAATTTCTCTTATGGCTTTAATTGCCCATAAAATATCCTTCTCTGTAATAGAAAATCCTTATTCTCGTAACAATGGTCTGCCTTTTATTTTTTTCACCTTCGCTTCTCTCATTGCTAAAATCTCTCTGTCCTTCTGCTTACCTGTTCCTGCTGATGCTTTCTACGTTGTTCCCTCTTTACTTCCCTACTCTTTTTCTGTTCATACCATGCACTTTCCTCATACCTCATACCTTCTAAATCCTCTAAATACAAGCTCTCACACCAAGCATTTAATCTCATGCCGAAACGCGCGTCAAAACACTTGTCGGGCTGCCGATGCACATACTTTGATTTTAATATATATACTTTGGATTGGTGCCTTGACTTCTGTTCCACTTGGATTTCGAGACTCTGAGAAGCAGCAGGGGGGAGGTCTAGTCGGCTATAAGGGTTTAACTGGACACTTTTCACCCATTCTACATCTAGCTGTACGCTCTTCCCTCTGTTTTGTCTACTTGTCCCCTTAAGTCTATCAGAACTGTGTTTATATTTACGGACACGTTCTTATATGTGTGATTACTAATAAACAGCTTCTGCTATCTATCCATGTTCAATGTCTACTTACTAATATTTATTTATTTATTTATAAAATATTTTATCAGGAGAGATACATTGTTTTCAAGTATGTCCTGGGTCCACAAATCATTGCATTGTTACATTAGGGTACAATAAAATAAAAAAACAATATTAATACACAATGAATACAAAATTTAACATAGAACAGGTAGGAAATATATAATCAACCATGACAGATGCATTCTGTTTTGAGGTATGTAGAGAGGGATCTCTTAAAGGACTTAGGGAAGATTTTAAATTGTGCGGGACGTCGTTCCACAATTGCGGTGCTCTGTAGGAGAAGGAGGATCGGGCTGCTTTCTTTTTGTATTGAGGTAGACTAAGTAAAGTGCTGGTACTGGATCGGAGGTTATAGGAGGTGGGAATATGATATGACTTTCCATATGTATATTTCACATTCACCCTTATATATTTAGTTCTGTATTTGCTTTTTTCTAATAAAGGTTATTACCCTATATTGTATTTTAATTGGAGGTAATCTTTGTGGGGTTGGTTTGTCTCATTGATTTTAGGAGGAAAATTGGGAAAATTTAGAAAATTGGGCAGACTAGATGGGCCGAATGGTTCTTATCTGCCGTCACATTCTATGTTTCTATGAACCCAACCTCATTAGTCTGTTGTCATATTTGTATCCAGGGGTCATGCCCTATTTACCTCTGTAGCCCATCCCCAAACTACAGGGCAAGTATCTTTCTCGCCACCTGTAGTTTTTTCTCGCCTCAATTGTTAAATGTATCCCTTTTATAATATTATAAAGCTGCGGAATAAGTTGGCGCAATATAAATACCAATAATAATAGCTTAATAAGGACAATTACTAAAGACCGTATCTCCAGAAGGATATTGATACTTTGGAAAGCGTTCAGAGAAGGGCTACTAAACTGGTTCATGGATTGCAGGATAAAAATGATAGATGATGAAAACTAACAATGAGTACAATTCCCATATTCTACCACCAGGTGGAGATAAACATTCTACGCAGTATAAGTAACCTTCCATTCTCAATGTAAGTGTTTATGGTGGCAGTGAGTCTATTGTAAGATATCTTTACCACCTCTACTGGAAACCTTTTCCATGTATGTACAACTCTATTGTTACATAGATTGTTCCCTGTAAGTTTAGATTAGATGTCATTTCCTGCCTATAAATCATTTAATATATGGACTTTTTGTGTGCCCCATCGTTTCATCGTTTCCAGTTGACGTATTTAAGGTTTTAATCTTTCTTGATGTGTTTTATGTATCTTGGCCTATTTTTTGGCTGCATTCCTGTTTTTCTGACGAGACTCATTATTTTGGGTGAGGTCTTATGAGTCATTAAGAGCCACAAGTTCCACTATTTTTCTAATGTTTCCCCTCGTCTTGTACATCCACAAATTCTGCTGGTTTTGCACCCTGCTTTGTTTAAAGAGTTACTACAAGCACCATGACCACTTATGGGATTAGAAGTGGTCATGGTGCCTGCAGTATCCATGTACAGCGCTTTTTCTACGAAACGCTACAAATACAGCAGTTAATCCCTTTGCTGCCCTAGGTGTACCTCCACCTCCGGCATTGTGATTGGGATGTCGGTTCTGTGCGCATTGCACAGTATGCACAGCATGCTGGAGCCAGACAGCCAATGGCAGCAAACCCTTCTCCCAATGCTAACAATGTGCCCCCGTACTGACCATGTCCTCTCCTCAGTCTGTGAGGGGGAGTGATGTCAGGCAGCCAGTAGGTATTGGGCCAGGTAAGTACAATCTTGGCCCCTATATTCTTGAGTTCATTCCATCTAGCCGCACAGACTAGTTTACTATTAGCATTTTATAAAATTCATCTTTACTGAATCAATTCCCCTCACAGTTTAAAGAAACTGAAGCTATCTGAGAAGTTACAGGAAAAATAAAAATAAAAATGTTTTTTTTTTCCCCTTCAAAATTATGAGCCTAAACTTTCAGTAATTTAATCTGAGAGCCAAATATTGTAAATCTGGGATTGAGATATACGTGAAAACTGCTATGTTTACATATGGGTTAATCCAGCCTCTAGTGGCTGTCTCATTGACAGGTGCTAGAGGGGCTTCCGCGCCTCTCACTGTGATTTTTCACAGTGAGAAGACGCCAGCGTCCATAGGAAAGCATTGAGAAGGCTTTCCTATGGACTGACTGAATGCGTGCGCGGCTCTTGCCACGCATGCGCATTCAGCCGATGACGGAAGAAGAGGGAGAAGAGGGAAACATTTTTTTTCAATCTGGGTGCCAATTACTGAAAATTACAATCTGATAATAAAAAAAGAGGGAGAAAAAGGCAGTTATAAAAATGGCATAAAAAAACCAAAACCAAACAAGAGAAAGCGACAAGAAAAAGGGAAAGAGAGATGTCAAGGATTCCAAGTCAGAAAAATAAACGTTTTGGGGGTTTTTCACCTATTCCCTCAAAAGAGCAAACAGAGAACTGGCGGAGCTGCCCGATCAGGTTTACAGAATATTGGCTATCAAGACACGTATCAAGACGAGGTGCTACAATCTGTAGGCGGAGTAATTACACAAGATTTCTTGAATCAGTGTTTAGCAGATACGGCCATAACTCTACAGAAATCAAAGGGATATTAGAAACATGGCGGAAGAAAAAAATCACTAAAATGGACTCACAAAATACAGACTTCAAAGAAAGTAATGATCAGTTATCCCAAAAAGTTAAAGGATTGGAACATAAAATAAGAGAATTAGAAGATCGTTCACGAAGGTCCAATCTTCAATTTCGTAACATCCCAGAAAGTATCACACAAGATAAAATCAAAGATTTCCTTGAAGTGTATGAGAATTGTTCCAGACGCTGAAACACATGAAAATAAAATTAAAAGAATCCATAGGTTATACAAACCGAAGAATATATCAGAAAAACTACCAAGAGAGAGAAACTGTCAGGTTACCTTGTGTATCAGTCAGGGGGATGTCACAGGCTGGCGTCACATTGCAGGGTATTGGGGACACTCCTACCAACTCTCAGCTTGCCCCTAGCGATTCTCACGCTAGCTGCGCTAACCCCGCCTCCTGTTATGACGCATGACGCTAAGAACGCCACGGCCCACCAAGGTGTTTGAACGAGAACAGTTTGGGCGCGAGGTTACCTACCTAAGTGAACACAGTATTTTTAAAGAGAAACCAGGTACAGACTCATTGCCCTGTTGTGGTTCTTGTTTGACCCAAGAGCACGTATTCCATATTGGTATTCTTGTATTCTGACTTTGGCTTAGTTTGACTATTCCTCCTTCTGTGTTCCTTTGACCTTGGCTATTACATTATCGTTGATCCTGATTTTCTGGTACCCATGACCTCGACTCGCTATTTGACTATTCTTTGTGTGTGTAGTGATAGTCCGGCCATCCTAAGGTCCGGTATACATTAGTAGTATTGGCATTCTGCGTGTAGGATCCCCGAACGTTCCTGACATAAACCCACACTGGAAGACAAGTTCAAGGACATTTGCGTACATCAAGATCTCTCATACGAGACACGATCTTGGAGGAGAAGATTTGCCCCAACATTGATTACCTTGAGAGATATGAACATATATCAATGGGAATACCCAGATAAACTAAAAGTTCATTGGAAGAATCAACAAGAGACTTTTGAGTCCCCAAAAGACTTCTTAAAATGGACGAAACTGACAAATATAAGTAGCTAATTTAGGGGAACAGATCATGGGAGGAGAAACAGAATTGGGATCTGGAGGGTGGGGAGGAGGAGGTAGTATTATAGAGCAATAAGTATTTAAATGCGAGTGGTAGTATACATAGCACTTCTTAAGAAGAAAATAACACAATTTATATCATTACACTGAGAAGGAAATATATATATACACATACACACACACACACACACATACGGTTTTTCTTTTGTTTGTTTTTGGGTTTTTTAGATTTATTGACACAATTAAATATATGATTACTATAAACTAAGTACATAGAGGATATATCAGACACTTTAAAAAATTATAACAGGGGGGAAATAATCGTTAAATTTGTGTGATCGCAAAATAAGTGAAAAGAATTACAAAATAATCACACATAAGAACAAGAGAAATAGTTATAGTGAAATACAATAGTGGCGTAATAGTCACTTTTTTTTCCTCTCTCCCTCTCCCTGAAGTGTCTCCTCTCTTTCTCCGGTTGATGCCCTTCTTCCCGCCACCCCTCTCATTTAGATGTAGGGGGTCAGGGGAGAGGAATGGCAGAATCGATTGGGGGATCGGGGAGGGGGAGGGGATGTCGAGGGAGAACAAAATATATTCCCCGAAGAGGGGTCTTTTTCTGTTTCTTCTTTATCTTCTGTAGTGAACTTTTGGATTTATATTTTGTGTAGGGGGTCAAACAGAGTTATGTTTTCAATATAATAGTCTGTACCTAATAATTAAAGAGATACCGCACCAGACAGGGTGAGAATATTCCCTTCCATGCAGGAACCATGTTATAATGAATATAACACGAAGGAGTGAGTCAGACTATGTAGTTGGAAGGTCACACCAATTTTCAGTTTTTCTGTTTAATGTGTGCAAATGTTTGTTATTGAGTTATATGTATGAGAATCAATCGTTTGTCGAGAGGAGGCCATGGGGGAGGTACACAGGGGGACAATAAAAATTATTTAATTATGAAATATTTTACCAGGATGGTTACATTGAGATTTCTCTCGTTTTCAATTATGACAGGTGCATTCTGTGCTGAGGTATATTGCCATAGATCTCTTAAAAGATTTTCAATTGAATGAAGATTTGACTCTGTCCCTGAGGTTATTCCATAATTGCAGTCTCTGTAGAAAAAGGAGGATCTTGGATCTTAATGCAGATAATAGTTTAATCCAAGATAAAAGATCCAAATATAATTTCACTTGGATGAAAAAAAGATATGCCCTACTTAGCAATAAAATTATCAAGAGATTTAAATAGTATTAGCCAAATCAATTTTGTCACTTCTTCGTCATACTAACCATTTATTACAAAACTGGAGAAATATAGAAACATATTGGATGGGAAGAATTAATATAATTAATATATTCGGGTTATATAGTGTAATATTGGAATATTGTGGAAATTGATGGCAAGATGAATGCAGTATGTTATCAGAAAATACTGGCAGACAATTTGCATTCTTCTACAAAAAGGCTGTGCATGGGACGCTCTTTGATTTTTCCAGCATGACAATGACCCTAAGCACAAGGCCAAGTTGACCCTCCAGTGGTTACAGCAGAAAAAGGTGAAGGTTCTGGAGTGGCCATCACAGTTTCCTGACCTTAATATCATTGAGTCACTCTGGGGAGATCTCAAATGTGCGGTTCATGCAAGAGGGCCAAAGACTTTGCATGACCTGGAGGCATTTTGCCAAAACCAATGGGCAGCTATACCACCTGCAAGAATTAGGGGCCTCATAGACAACTATTACAAAAGACTGGACACTGGCATGGATGCTAAAGGGGGCAATACACAGTATTAAAAACTAAGGGTATGCAGACTTTTGAACAGGGGTCATTTCATTATTTTCTTTGTTGCCATGTTTTGTTTTAGGATTGTGCCATTCTGTAATAACCTACAGTTAAATATAATTCCCATAAGAAATAAAAGAAATGTGTTTTGCCTGCTCACTCATGTTTTCTTTAATAATGGTCCATATATTACCAATTCTCCAAAAGGTATGAAAACTTTGCATCTGTATATCCTGTATTTTGAGGCAATGTATTTTAATATTTGCTGACGCATGTTACTTGTATAGGACACAGAGATAATGGTGAATGCCGAATTATTTTTTTATGTCTCTCAGGTGATGAATATGATGTCTGTGCCATCTGTCTGGAGGAATACGAGGAGGGCGACAAACTGCGTGTGCTGCCATGTTCCCATGGTAAGTTACCTCCCATCAATCAGCACCCTTCTGTTAATGAGAAGGAAGTGTTAATGTTTGTATTAACATACGCCCCTTTCTTTCCAGCGTACCATTGCACGTGTGTTGACCCCTGGCTGACCAAGACTAAGAAGAGCTGTCCTGTGTGCAAGCATCGTGTCCTGCGATCGGAGGACGACTCTGACTCTGAGAGCGGCGGGACGGAACCTGGAGATGGTGACAACAGAGAGGAAAGCGATAATGAGCGGACCCCTCTCCTTCGACCCTCTCCTTCATTTGGCAGCATGGCCGATTCCCCCACAGCTATCCAGAACGAAGCAGAGGTCGAACCTCCCCGGGCAGTCAGCGTCTGAGAAAGCCTTGGTCCTTCGCCATGTGGATCTCGGTTAGACTGTGTTGATCCCAGGATCCTTTGTGCACACAGTGGCAGATAATTTGCACGGTGACAGATCCATTCCCAGAATCCTTTGCCCTGCCACTTACCCATTCCCAGAATCCTTTATGATAGAAAATGAGTTAATCTCCGTAATTGTTTTGCCTTGTATTTTCTCCATCCCCCATAGCTCTTTGTTCTAGAAGCATCGGGTTGTGTTCTCATGCTCTTTTGGGGTTTCATTTTTTGTTTGTTTTTTTCTTGTATTTTATTGATCTCCTTAATCAGTCCATTACTTGGGGACTGGTTTATTCCAATCATCTCCTAACGCTCATGGGTCAGAGTGGCACAAACTGCTGCGTTAGACATGGCCGCCTGATGTACCGAGAGATGTTCTCATGGGGATGGCTATTTCAATTAGTTGACAAATGGGGTAAAAGACAAAGAATTGGTCATAATGGAAGATATCTGTGTACCTCTAGGCTTCCCTCCTCGTGCAGCGTTCTGTAATTACTCTGTATCTGACTAATGTTTTTGTATAAACATGATTTCCTATCTAATGGAATAACTCTGACTCTAAGCCCCCAGCAGCCATTGGACGACGTCAATGACCCTGTTGGAATTGATTTGTATTTTCTGTGTAACTGGATGATTCCATTGCTTAGTTAAGTATAGATTCTATTTTCTTGGAGTTCCGCAGCAGATGATGAAAGGGGAATCCGAACGTCATTTGAAAGTTTTGGGCAGGGAGAGAGAGGAGAATTAAAGATAAAACGTCAACCATTCAGATGGGTGGATAGAGAAAGGAAAAATACGAGGAACATGGGGTGACCTGACCAATCAGAATTAACAGACCACGTGATCCCCACGTTGCACTGAGGGGTTTGAAAAGCTCAGATTGTTTTCGGACAGCACGGCCTATTACAGCCAGCTGCTGGCTGAGAGTGCTGAGTTTGTAGACTTGTACATTTAATAATCTGAAATCTGCTTTAATTTATAATCTAACAATGATGTCACAGCTGTGATTACACTATTGTCCGGCTGATTTACCTGTCCTACAATGCCACGCTGGATGCCTTGCTTTAGAGACATGCAGGGCACACTGACAGAGACACGCAAGGTTTAGAGACAGACAGTTAGGTGCCTGTGGGAAAGACCTGCCATGTGTATTATAAACCTAATAATAGCAGGAATTTTTTAATATCTGTATGAATAAACTTATTATAAAACCAATTAAAAAAAAACATCTCTTCCAATATTTTTGTTTGTTTGTTTTTAAGTCTGGTGTGATACAGGTTGGGTAATTCAGAGGATTTAAACATCTCTGGAATAATCTGCTATGACATTAGGGAACATTTAGGGCTATTACTGCCGTAATGGGAAGTAGACATTGGCCCCAAAGTGGTCTAAAATGGACAATGTAGGTACTTGTAACAATTTTATCTCTTTGAATTGGTAATTGTGACTGGAGTCCCCTGGCCCTGTTTAACAGTAAGCAGGAGCTAAGGCAGCAATTATACATGTTCCTCCATCTATATCAATTACACACCTTCCAAGTGTCCCTATGTTTCTCTTTTCAATCCTAATTTCCATCTTTTCTAAGAGCTCCGTATTGTTGGTGTGTCTGAGTGTATAACAGAGCTCCACAGTAACAATACTCCCAGTAATGTGTCTGAGTGTATAACAGAGCTCCATAGCAATAACACTCCCAGTAATGTGTCTTAGTGTATAACAGAGCTCCACAGCAATAATACTCCCAGTAATGTGTCTGAGTGTATAACAGAGCTCCACAGCAATAATACTCCAAGTAATGTGTCTGAGTGTATAACAGAGCTCCACAGCAATAATACTCCCAGTAATGTGTCTGAGTGTATAACAGAGCCCCACAGCAATAATACTCCCAGTAATGTGTCTGAGTGTATAACAGCTCCACAGCAATAATACTCCCAGTAATGTGTCTGAGTGTATAACAGAGCCCCACTGCAATAATACTCCCAGGAATGTGTCTGAGTGTATAACAGAGCTCCACAGTAATAATACTCCCAGTAATGTTACTGAGTGTATAACAGAGCTCCACAGCAATAATACTCCCAGTAATGTGTCTGAGTGTATAACAGAGCTCCACAGCAATAATACTCCCAGTAACGTGACTGAGTGTATAATAGAGCTCCACAGTAATAATACTCCCAGTAATGTGTCGGGTGGTAGGGTGAAAACCGGTGTCTAAAAGGAAGAAATGGAGCGTGGGAGGTAAACCATGAAATGGGGAGCTGGAGGAAACTGGGGAACAGAGAATATGAATTTCTAAAAACATTTACTTTGCTGGAGGAAGCCACATCTTAGAGCTGAAAACTTGTCTTCCATGTATGTCTTGCAGGATGGGCCATGTATGTCTTCCATGTATGTCTTGCAGGATGGGCCATGTATGTCTTCCATGTATGTCTTGCAGGATGGGCCAGGTATGTCTTCCATGTATGTCTTGCAGCCAATGACCTCACTAAAGTGACATGAAAGTGACCTTATGGCCAACGGGCCCCTAGGGCACTACATTCAGAGGGTTCATTTACAGCACTGAAGGCACAGTCACAGCAAGGACGGTTCATGTGTTCCTTTGTTCTGTTTTGATAATACTTTACACCAGTCTCCAAGCATACATGGGACAGGCATATTAAGTCATGTATTTAAATACTGTAAATAAAATTTCATTCACAACATTTCAAAAACAATACTTGTTCATTAAAGTCACTTTTCTGTAAATATTTCTTGCATTTCTCATGGCTTCCAATGGAAGTGATCTTGGAGATACCCTGATGTATTTCTTGTTTTTTTTTAAATTTTGCTCTGGATACATTTTTCTATAGTTTCTTTGGACCTTGGCGCTCCAGGTATGATGGCCATACTTCTGATGTTGGAGTGCTGGTTTAGGAGAAGAGAACAAGCTTGTTGTGTGTCTAAGAGAATACATGGATATCCAGTGAAGGACAGATAAAAACATTCTTGCTTTTCTTTGGCGAAACCCCTAGAATACATCCATAAGATGTGAGCTGTTTCAAGAACAGGTGGTATTGGAATGTGAAAGCAAGTGGGTCTCTTCTCAATGCTTGATGTTGGAGGACTTCCTGAGGAGAGACATGCTGTACGAAGTTAGTCATCGTTACGTATATACAATGACCAAAAGGGCAGAGAACCTGCAGAAAGTAGCCTTCCTGGATGTTAAGATGAGCTTCCTGTTTAAATACTTTACCGGAAATATTTATGCTTCCGGACAACATTTTACAGACTTCGGGGACTGGTGTAATCTGCCGGAAATCGTGCCACAGGAGCTCCTGCAATTCCGGGCATTTAAATGCTGCCTGTGAGAGACTTTATTTCTTAAACTTGGATCTGGAGAAAAGACCTTTTAAGTCAAAATAGCTAAACTAGAATATTTGCGAATTTTCCCAGCTAGGCTATTTAGTCCTGCTCCTTTCTCCCGAGTGTAGACTATAACGATGTGAATGATTTTTAACCCAGCACATGAAGTGATGAGGATGTGGTTCCTCCCCCGGTGAGAACCTCACATTGATATTATGTGGAATTTCTTCTGCACAGAAGCTTCGGTGCTATATCATTATATTCGGTGTCTGTATTATTTATACCAACACAGTTGGTGACAATTTGAATGGATTCTCACTTCTAATGAGGGGGATCTTAGCAGCACCCTCCTTAAAAAGTAGGTGACAACTTACACAAAACCATTATCCGTTCAACTATTTAAAAGCACTCCACAGCTACCTACCACACATATATAGACCGATTTATTTACTGAAGTGAGAATTCAAAGGGAAAAATTATCTAATTCAACTTTGCTTTTACGTACTTATAGGAACACTATAGTCACTCATACCACTTCAGCTTACTGAAGCGGTCTGGGTGCACTGTCACAGGTCCCTTAACCCTGCAATTTTAATTATTATTGCAGTTTTGAGAAAATGCAATAATTACCTGATAGGGTTAACACCTCTAGTGGCTGTCTACCAGAGGGACTTCTGGCTGGTTAGGCATGAGGACATCCAGCATCACCCTAAATCCCACTATGGTGGAAGTCATAAAGGAAGAGCGACGATCGTATGCGCATTAGTACTTGACAGCTGCCATCATCAGCCGAGAGTGGTCATCGGAGCTGGAATCTGGTAAATGACGGGGTTTGAACATGTGGTGGGAGGTGGGTACTTGTGGGTACATATAGTGCTGGTATACAGGTGGTGGGCATGTGTTGGTACGTAAAGTGCTGTTATATGAGTGGTGGGCATGTGTGGTAAATATAGTGCTGGGATAAGGTTAGTGGGCATGTCAGAATACATGTTGTTCATCTGTCGATTTGACAAGGAGCACTCAGTTATCCGTGAATTGTTTGTGCAGGTTCTCTCTGTGTGTGCACAGATGACTAACAAGGCACATTTTTGCATGGAACATCCAATGACAGATGGAACGGCAGTCGAGGAGGACATCTCTGGCAGAGTTACTGCCTCTTTCATTCTCCTGCAGCCGTCTTTTTGGTCTCACACGATTCAGCAACTTTTGACATGAAAGAGAGCCATGTTGTCCAATTCATTGCAATCTGTTCCCAAGAGTCAGAGTTGATGTCAAATGCTTTTAAGGGCATCTTTAACCCCTTAAGGACACATAACATGTGTGACATGTCATGATTCCCTTTTATTTAGTTTGATCCTTAAAGGGTTAAAGATCTCCTTTTGCCCCCTTTGGTAGATGATGGTATGACATATGGATTAATGTCCTGCCCTGCATCAAGATGGTAAAGATGCTAGGTAGGTTTGCTTGGGCAAGTACTTCAGTGTCTGGGATTGTGTCCTGCACTGGTTTTCGATAATTTTTCTGAGCTTTGTTGTGTGGAAATGGTTCCGCTTCTTGTCATAGCGCTGATACACGGTCAATGTTTCACTAGCATAGAGCATTGTGGAGAGACATTCACTTCTGTCTGGATGGTGAGGCCTCTTCTATTCCAGAAACTGGCATGCAATCTGCCAAAGATTACAATGTCTGTAGCAATCCTGATATTCACTTCATCGTCTATGGTGACGTCAGTTGTCAAAGTGCTGCCAAGGTAAGAGAATCTGTTCACTACATTTAGTCTCTGGCCATCAATGGTGATGTTGGGCTCAACATAGTACTTTCCTGGGGCTGGCTGATGCAAAACTATAGTATTCTTTGTACCGATGGATAAACCAAAATTTGCTCTGGAGCTGGAAAACTTATCTACACTGCATTGCATGTCAACTTCTGAGCCAGCGATGAGGGCACAATCCTCAGCAAACAGGAAAGATCATTTGTAACAGGAAATGGATCAAATCACTCGCCATTATGCTAGACCCATGACTGCATGTCTTCATGAATTAGTTGGACTATGAAGATGAACTTCCTTGAGCATCGATGGCTGGGTACTTATATTGTTGGTTCTGGGTCCTTCTAGTAGGGTATAGGATGGAGGAAGTGGTAGGTGAAATGGTGTTGGAACACCTCCTGCAGTACAAAACCTTTCTTACTCTACCATCTGCTGCCAAAGGCTGGGCAAATGGGTTTCATTAGTCAGGTAACCTTATTATTTGAAAATATATTATCCATAAGTGGGTCAAAGGAATGGAAGAGAATGGGTGGGCAGCAACCCACCAGCTGCAATTCCATGTCCAACGGGATTAGAGGAATGGGAAGACCCTTTGGCCAGTTTCTATATTTTGCCTCTACTTAATGAACAAATAATACATTATATCACTCAGTTCTATTGTTAATTACATCTGGTTTTCAATCAGTTTGGCATGTGGCCATTCCTTATTCTTATTTAGACAAAAGCAGTAAATATTAAAATATTTGTTAGTTTAGATTTTTGCACAAATACAAGTGGCCAGGCTTAATAGGGACTAGCGACAGATGTCATTGTGGCTTCAGGGTAACTTGGAACCTTTTATCTTGCTTCACCTCCGCAACCCACGGGAAATGAGAGATACACTTAAAGAAATGCCTGTGTGTGCCTCAGGGCCGGACGAGCAATAAGAACTGTCCATTGAAGCTTTGAAGAGATGGTTTGGAATCCCCGGAGCGCAATGTCCAGATGGAAGGTACCATTACCACAGCTTATTGATGAGGTCCCATTGATTTACTGTACAGGAAACTGACACAATAAATAGACTGCATGTAAAGTGGGGTCTCCTGGATTATAAATGGAGAGCTACGTTAGGTAGGCGACTCACTCAATTGGATGAAATATTTCGGAATCTTGTAGTAATGTAGGTGGAATAAAGACTTCAGTGCTTCCAGGTCAATCGTTTACCCATCTCTGTTGCTAATTTTAATCTAAAAGAAGGCAAAAAAAAACTGATTCATTTTAAAACTGTGCCACAAAAAGGAAATAATTTCTTCTTAAATCCACAGTTTAAATCAGATTTATCCTCAAATCATCATATTAACAGCCCGAAAGGGCAACGGCCACTTCCCATTAATTTTAGTAGTGACCTTGATTTCATTAATTTAATTTAATTCAAAGGATTTATCTATAAAATTCCCATTTAATGGTTGTAGCGGAGTAGTAGTATTATCCACGGTATCTCCACTGGTAGACAGAATCAAGCAGGCACAAAGCAGGTAAAATCCAGGTAGCGTAGTTACAATCCCTTCCTCCCAAGAACTAGACGACACATAGCTTGGAGGTCAACTGAGGTTTATTTTCAGGTCACGGTATTTATGGGATTCCCCATGCAAGGGGTTTCCCTACTGACATTTCAGGGGTCGTACAGTAGGGGACTACATGGGGAACTGACCAACACATACATTTTTCCCATCATGCACTGCTGGACGAGAGGGATACTCCCACTGGAATATACCGTTAATGGGATTATCCCTCCGCAGAACTCACATTTTACATTAAAACACATAACTTTAATAATGTTCACTTGTTTTACACGAATGGACGTTCGGTAGATAGCTGGAGGCTGAGCGCATCGTTCGTGAGTATACCGCTCAGCTCCCAGTCTAACTAACCGAACGCCGTACGAAATACACATTATTTCTAACATAGGTTTAAAATACCGATTATTATAAGGGGAATAAACTACCGAACGGCCTGGAAGTCCAGCGGTGTTCGCGCCGTCGAGTAGCCGTTTTTAGTTCCAGGCGTTCGACGACAAAACACCGCTGGGCTAACAAAAGAATCAAGATGGCCGACCGCCGCCTGGTCGGTAGTCGAACGACGGCCACCTAGAAACACACTTAATTAACGATTGCAACATTGTTGCAATCGGTTAATGGGCACCACACGACCCCCTGTGTGTGGTCGTGCATTCGGTATGTTATTCATTTCACGAACAGTGTTTAAACTCACTGTTCGTGAAACTACATTATGAATGCTGGGGTTTTCATACCGCCAGCATACGAATGTCCTCATTCGCCTGAAATACAGTTAGCATTCCGCATGGATCTTTATGGCTTAGCAAAAATACACGCATATTGATACATTAATAGTCTCTAGTGGCTAGTTTTGCCACAATTCTCCCCTAGAACCAAGCCGGCATACACAGTCTGATCCCAACGGATCGGCTTGGGGATGTCCGGAGGGGCACGCACAGATCACTTCTCAAGTTCAGTTTGTCTGGATAACCCGTCGGCGTTGCCATTTAGCTTTCCCGGGCGGTACTGGATCGTAAAGTCAAAAGGCTGCAGCGC